CACCTCATGATCACACAGGCTAGTATGCTTCTTCCATGTGGGCTTTGTTGCTCTCAGTTAGATGACTGCTTATTTATCTTCAAGCCTTTAAGCCCCCAGATGCTATATCTCTTGATAGCTGGGCACCATTAGCTTTCTTCACCACATTTGCTTATGCATCTGCTTTGTCTTCAGTGATTGTTTCGGGAAGGTGAGTATCATGGAATGCCAGGTTAATAGAACAAAGTGTTCTTGCGTTAAAGGAGTACTTGAGTAGAGGCCCAATGTCCAATTTTAATACTTAATACTAATACCTTAATACTAAATCTATAAATATATCTACATAGATCTATTTCCCCATCATCATATATAAATATATTGACATATGTACATGCCTGTATTTAGACTTCTATAAATGCCCTTTGCCTCTAGTTCTTTCCTCTATTTCCTTTTATTTTCCTCTTGTCCCACTCTCATGCTCAGCTCTCATTCGGGTTTCAGTAATTCGTCTCGGTTTCATTGCCCTTGATCAAGCCCTACCAGGCCTCCTACACCTCCTCACCATCGATTTTAGATCACCTGTTGTTCCCTTGTCCCTGGGTTTGTTAACACCCACTTCCTTTTCCCCACCTCCCCCTCTCCTATGTTCCCCCAGAACTGTTGGTACCGTTGTTTTCTCATTCAGATCGTTAATCCCTCCTATCTTATCTAGATAGACCTGCAGAGATAATATATGCACAAAAAACAAGACAGCAAAACAAAGCAACAAAAGAAGACAACCACAACAAAAACCCAACAACAACAACAACAAAAGCCTATAAATAGTTCAAGGTGTGTTTGTTGACCTTTAGGAGTGTTTTCCAGTCGAGTCTGATGGGGTGCCACGCCCTGGTCCCAAAGTCTATTTTTGGTATTCCCTGAGAACTTTGTTGCTCTGCTCCCCTTGCTGTTCACCCTGAGTATTTCACCTTGGTGTGGTGGGGTCAGATCAGGCTCAATTCCTGCAGTGGGTCTCCAGTGTTTTCCCCATAGCACTATGGGTCAGTGAGGGATGTCATGTCTCGTAGTGGAGCAGGCCCTATGGTCCTCTCTGTGCATTAGCTGCTCTGAGCAGAAATATTGTCCTCGGGGCTTGGTGGGCCAGGATGTGCTCTATTCTCTCTTCCTCCCCCTTCACTTGCTCTGGTGTGCTCCCATCAGACATGTCCCTCTCCCTGAGCTGTAGCTTCAGTGCTGTCCTCTGAAGTGAATTCTTCTGCTGGGCCCAATATCCCTTAGAGATTTTCATGTGTCTTTGTATCTATCTGCCCCTAGATAAGGAAGTTCGCAGCACAGAGTCTCTAGGTCCAAAGGAAGTGCTCTGCTCCTAGCTCCTCTGGGAGCACCTGCCTTGGGGCTCCATACCTAAATCGGTCTGGTGTGGGTCTGGGTCTGAGTGAGTTTAAAGAAGGCAGTGGGGACTTATTGGAAGACAGAGAAGACAGTAAGCAAGGAGATGGAAAGGAGATGCAGAAAAGAAAAAAAACGGAAAAGCAATTACAATTTAGTTCTTGGGGTGATGCTCTTAGCCATGAACCTGCTTGGGGCTGCAGATGCAGAGGAGCCAGGGACAGGTTTGTTCAGGGGATGTGCTACAATTGACTTTTGTTCCTGGGGAAAGAGTTGCAGTGACCAGAGTACTCAGAGAAGACGCTGCTGGTGTGTGTCTGTGGAGGAGAGGCTAGATGGTGATAGAAGATGGTGAAGTGAGGAAAGCTGCTGTTTGGATGGATCCTCGAAGAATGAGTGGTGGTAGTCAGGGGCGGGGAGTGATGGATGGAGGGAGTGGCCACTGTAAGAAATTCAAGAGCAGAGCATTGCTGAAGAATGGACCGGCTCACAGGGAGGGGGAGGGGACCCAAGACTAGAAATGTCTTGTGATATTTCAGCATAGAGTGACCAAGTTGGCATAGGAACTCCCCTGACTCAAGACAGTGGTATAACAGGAAAAAAGGGTCTCAGGCAGAAAGGATTTCACATTAACTCCTCAGAGGACTTGCTTGTCACATTAGGATAGTAACTTTCCACTTCTTATCCAAGATGATATTAGGGGAAGGGTGGTGAATTGAACAATCGTATGAATAGGAGAAAGTCCTAGGGCGACTTCTAGACACAAGGGAGTGAGGGGATAGTGGGCAGTGAGTGAAGACAGAGGCACAGAGGGAGATCAGGGTGAGGAAACAATCTCTTTTAGCTAGTGGGCACTCCACGGCTTGTGGCAGGCTTTCCAAGGTAGAATTGGACAGCAGGAAGGGTCCTGGGAGGTTCTCTCTCTGCTTCATCTTCCTGCTGTCCAGTCACTTGGAGAATGCCAGAGACACCACCACTGGATCCACAAAACTTGGCACCCACTCGGCGGTGATGTTCCGGCACTCCGCATCATTGCATGTGGCTTCATGAGTCTGAGGAGCGGCTTATGGACTACTGTTGGCCTGGCATGGGATGTTTTCTTGATATATAATGGCTTGTTGATATAAAACGCTTTCTTACACATACATGAGTGTCTCTGGATTTGTTTCTCTAGTCAACCTGGCCTAACACATAGAGTGACTAGAGGATTCAAGTCCTTGACTCAGTGACTCACTTCTGAGAATTAGTTAGTGAAAATCCTATGGATAATTTCAGAATATTGTCCAATATAGTCATGTCATCAGAAAGGATTAAATGCTAGAAAAGGTTTAGTAAAATAGAGGGTAAAGGAAAGTGAGAGAAACTCTCAATGAGATCGACTGTCATATTAAACAATGGACTAACCCATATTAATGATCATGAAGATGGCACAGAATCAGGGAATATTTCATCCTGTTATACATACAGCCATCTTCAGTCAAAGCCAAAATGATGACCACAAACAACAATAATGACAATTCTGTGGTGGTGTGGACAATAAGCGAAAGAGGAGGAAAATTGTAGGTGTGACGCAGGCAAGTCAAACCAAAAGCTAGAGGGAAGGAAGTTCTCAGACTTGAGGTCTTCTGAGCAGGAGGATGCACAGGGTGAAGGAAGGAGAGGATGTGAGGGCACACTGACTCATGGCACTGCGGGATATCGGGTTTCTCAGGAACAGACTGTAGTTCTTTGGTCTACCTGGCCTGTCATTACATATCTCTTCTCAACTAAGTGGTGCTGGAGAGAGCAGGAGTTCTGCATTGCCAGAACGATACTGCTTTTAGCTCTACGGCCCTCAGGAGGGCAGCTGAGGGACCAGGCCCTAGCCTGAGTGTCCCCTGTGGAATGGAAAAACCTAGCCAAGTGATTTCCTTCCTGCTAGGGAATTTTGACTTGTAGAGAAGAAAAGGCATAGGCAGGGACCAGAGAGACCCAAATTGCAGCTTATTGCTCCAGTGATCTATGATGCTCATGTGCTCTGAGGGGTTCTCTGAATGCTCTGATTTGTAAAACTTGGACAACATATACTTCTTATATAATGGTAGTAATGTATAAATCACACAATATAAATATTTAACTGTGCACAGAATGTAGAGGAAAGCAAATACATATTCTCTTATACGGATACCCTTCTATTTGCTAGAGCTTGGTCAATATTTATTTAACAAAGGGGTGATTGGAAGGATAAGCAAATGGATAGAGCTGGATGAAATGGATGGATGAATGAGTTTATATATATATTATATATACATATAATAGTATATATGGCTGTAAGTATGGCTTAACAAAAGAATGTATGATTATATATATGGATAGGTAGGTGGATGCTTAGATATATAGAAAGATAGATGTATGGATGGACTGGTGGATAGGTGGGTGAGCTGATGGATAAATGGATGGATGAGTGAGTGAATAGATGCATGGCTGATGCATGATTGGATTGAATGAAGGGTGAATGAGCAGGTGGATGGAAGGATAACTGGCTGATTTGGGGATGGTTTGACTAAAACTCAGGTCAGCCCAGGGATTATCCTGAAGACTTCTCAACTCTTTTCACCTCTGTGATAGGAAGGAATTGGCATGGGAAAGAGGGGAGGCCTCCTCTGATCTGTTCTGAGTAGAGAGATGCCCCTTCACTGCAATCATACTCACAGCAAATAGAAAGCCAAGCTTGTGAATTGTCCCCGGAGGAAAGTCTCGGTGCCCACGCCGATCAGCACTAAGGGAGAGAAGAAACAGAGTGTGTTCCCAGTTATTCCATAGCATGGCCCATGAAGTATGCAACTTCACCTGGGGTGGTAGATCCTTGACAGTGAAGTGAGCTTTCCCAGGGACCCAGGCCGGAACAGGCTTCCTCCCACCCTACCCCCCACCACATAGCACTGAGAGCTGAGGCAGGGGAGGTGCAGAGAAGAGGGAATTTCTTAGATTGCTCTCTGGAAACCACAGACAGAATCCCATAGGTCTTCCATTCTGGGCTCCAGAGCCTGTCTATCGATGAGAACTTTCCCTTCCCACGCCCTGCCTGGATCCACATTATTACTGTTTTCACAACTTGCTGATTTGTTTACTGCATCAACATTATTGGCTTATTACTTTGTATAAGATGCTGAATCCTGGGTTGGTGGTGTTGTTTTCTTTGTGAGATGACTGAATCCCACTTCTGCATGGCAGTCATTAAGGATGTGAATCCCACTGTCCTGTGAGATGCAGGGCAGCCTCAGTTCCTCTATTGGTGTCTTGGTTCAAACCTCTAAACTTCCATTGGTTGGTTTTGTCCTGGGCCAATTTCATCTCAGATGTAGGCTTTGCAGACTTGCTTGTTCCTCATCCCTATTTTATAGGGATTCTGTTGCTCCGGGAACTTATCTTAAGCCATCCCTGATAAAGACATCCCACAATGCAGGCTGAGGAAAAAGTCCAAGAGATGCTCCTGGACTTTCCTGTAGGCAGCATTGACCCCAACCAGAACCACTTTATATCCCTAAGTAATTATGTCACCCTGGTGATCTAATGGGCTTCATACTTAGCTAGGTGCCTATGGGTGGCCCTTTGTCCTTTCCACCCATGGCTTTCTTTTCCTGGGCTTTGGTACTTTATTTCTTGGCAGAGATATTACATGAACCTCATCAGCCAAATGTCCAAGGACCTCCCTGCTCTCAGTGAATTGTCATCCCATTTGGAGTATGTGGGAACCACTGCTGAAATGCTACCTAGTCAGAAGCTGGCCTTCTCCCCCACTTGAGCTGGCACCAGCACTCACTGCTTCTGGGGGGAATTGTGGAAGTAGTCAGGGGAAAGGAGGCAGGAGGGGAGTGAAGTTGGGCATTTCCCCCAGTGATGAATGGTTCAATTGCTCCCCTGAGCTTCAAAGACAGAGTTTATCTCTTCCTTCTCAGGTTGTAGCTGCTTTGCAGGTTCACACTGGGGAAGCAGCTGTTTATGTCAGGCACACACGGCTCTGCAGTGCTCACATAATTATGTGGTCCAAATTCACAAAGCACTTAATACTTGTGTACAATGATGACAAGCCCTATCTCCTCACACAGGGAGTCTTTGTCACAAGGAGGAAACCGATATACGGCTAGAGTCCAGTTATTAGCTGAATCGCTCAATTTCTCTGAACCTCAATTTCTTCATCGTGGCTACAAAATGGTTATAAGGATTCACTAGGTGGTTTGATGCCAAACATGTCACAGTGGTTTAATAAGATTGTTTTTAAAATTTTGGGTATACAGATTCAGACAAGAGTGGGGAAAGAGTCTTCCACTAGGGCTCATGTTTATGACTTGTGTTTTGTACTTCTCCAGGACTCTGTTCAAATTTGTAGTCTGTATAGTTTTGTGGAGTCCCTGGATAGTGATAAAGAAGCTCTGGCGGTGTCGTGGGTTAAATGTTAGGTTGCTAATTGCAAGTTCAGCAGTTCAAAACCAGCAGCTGCCCCAAGGTAGAAAGAGGAAGCTTTCTGCTCCCATAAAGGGTTGCATTCAGAAGCCCACAGGTGCAGGTCGACTCTGTCTTATGGGGTTGCTACGGGTCGAAATAGACTCGATTGCAGTGAGTTTGGTTTTTGGTTTGGGACAGTGATGATGGTTCAGACACTTGTCTGCCAACCAAAAGATTAGTGATTTGAGTTGACCCAGAGGTACCTCAGGAGGAAAGTCTAGCAATCTACTTAAAAATATATTTATTGAAAACCCTGTGGTGCATAGTTCTACTCTTATACAAACGAGGCTGTTTTAGTGTGAGACTCCCAGGCAACTATTTTGGTATGGCAGATGGCCAGTAGATGGCAGCCTTGGGAAGAAGGCACCTTACTGGTTTGCACCACTTGGACATCTGGAAAGTTACTTTGATGTCTCTGGTGTGCTTTAGTGTGAAACAAGACTCAATAGTCAGAGGAGGGTTAAAAGGCAGCACTGGGTTTACAGTGATTAAACAAATATGCTAAACATGATAACTGGTCTGGAATTCTAGTTCTGTCTGTTACCACATGTATAACCTTAGGAAAGTACTTAATTCACTAGATTTGGTGTTCTCCATGACTAGGGAAGGGAGTACTGGTGATGTAGTGGGTTACACATTGGTTTAATAACCATAAAGTCAGTAGTTCAAAACCAAGAGGAGAAAGTTGAGACTTTCTACTCCTACAAAACTTGCGGTCTTGAAAATCCACAGGGGGTCATCCTATTCGGTTCTATAGGTTTGCTATGAGTTGGAATCAACTAAACGACAGGGAGTTGAGTTGAGTTGATGCCCAGGAAACAAACCTGCACTTGTCGGGAGGAGAAGAGCTAGGGTAGAGATATGTGTATTGGAGTCAAAGTATGGAGTGCTAGGCTGGGAGATCCTCAAAGGGACCCTCATCTACTTCTGGGATGCTTTAAGACAATGTGAACCTGAGTCATCTGCTTTCTGCTTGCTCCTGCTGGTTCTGAGGCTCATGCTTTCAGTGACTAACTGTGTCAAGGTGAGACAACTTTGATGGCTACTAAGTCTTCCCTTTTGCTCCCAGATCTGTCTGCCTGTGGGCCTGGCTCTCTGCCAAGGCCTACACAAGCTCTATAGACATTGCTGACCATTTTGTGGAGGTGACTTGGGACTAGGACCTTCTGAATTGGGGTCAGAGATGGGGTTTCTCCATGGATGCCCTTGATCCAACAGGAGCAATGAGGTATAGACTGAAGAAAGTGCATACATGGGAAACAGCATCCCAAGATGTAAGAAAAGTTCACCAAGTGCTCTGACGTCAGAGGAAGGAAGGATTAATACTGGGACTATCAGGAAAGACTTTGTAAAGAAATCCAAACCAGGTGGACTAGAATATCAGGTAGGAAATGGACATTACACATGGAGAAACCATGACATATCAGAAAGGGGACTCCCTATGACAGAAAGCTGTCTAGTCTAGA